AAGATAACTTGGTTTTAAAATCCACTATCTTAAGTTCACAGCAGAAATGAATGGATTTTTATAAAACATTGGATCCACAATGAACACACCCATTATAGATAACACACTGGAATGATATACGTGTTTACACACATTTTGTCTGTGTTAGAACAATAAAACTGCTCAGGAAATCTGCCTTGCAGAGAAGTAATTAGCCCTACACACACAGACAAACAGGCAAACAGACACACACACACACAAAACGAATGGTTCCAATGGCATCTCGTTTCAGTGCTTTCATGGTAAGAGTCAATGTCCTTCTTAACTAGGTTGGTTAAAGCCTGACAAAAAAGCCAGCTGACCTCGTCCATGTCCATGAACTGTATCCATGTCTTGCAAATGCATGCCACCAGACACCAGAATGATTTGCAGACATAATGCAAGGAGGAACACATCAAATGTACACCAGTGCAACAGAGGGGCAAGAGCACTGTCCTCCTGTATGAAAAAGAGGATGTTTAATTTTACCACCAAAGGGAAAACTCTGCCCACTTGCTGTGTTGCTATGACCTTGTTACTTATTTATTTATTTTTTTCTGAGAGTCTCACTCTGTTGCCAAGGCTGGAGTGTAATGGTGCGATACTGGCTCAGTGCAATCTCCACCTCCTGGGTTCAAGCAGGGAATTGAAGCAATTCTCCTGCTTCAGCCTCCCGAGTAGCTGATAGCTGGGATTACAGTAGCATGCCACCACGCCCACCTAATTTTTGTATTTTTTAGTAGAGATGGGGTTTCACCATGTTGGCCAGGCTGGTGTCGAACTCCTGACCTCATGATCCACCCACCTCGGCCTCCCAAAGTGCTGGGATTACAGGTGTGAGCCACCGCGCCCGGCCAGACCTTGTTATTTTCACATTCGAATTCACTTGAATTCAAAACTCTGTCACAGCCCTCAGTTCAACTCCTGGCTGCACCACTCAATGAAGAGCCAAATGCACTACCACACCGCTCCAGCAGACCCCATACCACACAAAAACAATGACAGGTTTTGGTGACCAACTGAAAACTGAGCTAGGCAGCACAAACTCAGTCCAGAGAGCTGAAGCCAAAACAATTTCACCAATGTTCTCTCTGGGCAGTAAGCTAATAAAGCAAGCTAACTATCATTAATTCTACTAGAAAAACGCTGAAACAGCAGTGATGCATTCAAATAGATTAACTTGCTTAAAATTCACTTTCTTAGCTACAAACTTTAGGAACAAAACCTGAGTGACATTCTACCATCACATGTATTAATAAAAATGTTTTGGTTTACTTTTCAGTGATCCCCCAGTGGATGTGATATCTCTCTACACTGAAGCCTTCACATTCAGGAAGCAAACTTCCTTAGGCCACGTTCTATCTCCAAACTGGCCAGCATGGAACTATCTGGACACACACCCAGCTGTCTCCCTCATCACACTTCTCTTGGGGCCAATTCCCTGGACAACAGCGATACACTCCCTGCCCGCATGGAATCAAAAAGATTGAGAAGCATTGAATGCAAGACCAAAACATTGCTGGAACTTAGAGTTCCAGCAAGGCAGGCTGGTTACCAAATAAATTTGTATGAGGCCACTCTGTTAGTGGGTTTCCTAAGTGCCGCTGCATGAAAAGGATTAGAGTGATAGAGAAGACTAGTGAGTTTGAAAAGGCATTCACTTGTGATGTGGACTTGCTCTAGAAACGCAAGACTGTACAGAAGTGTGATGAGGGGACAGCTGGGTGTGTGTCCCAGATAGTTCCATGGCTGGCCAGTTGGAGATCAGAACGTGGCCTAAGGAAGTTTGCTTCCTGAATGTGAAGGCTTCAGTGTAGAGAGATATCATCATCCACTGGGGGTCACTGAAAGTAAACCAAACATTTTTATTAATACATGGTGATGGTAGAATGTCACTCAGGTTTTGTTCCTAAAGTTTGTAGCTTAGAAAGTGAATTTTAAGCAAGTTAATCTATTTGAATGCATCACTGCTGTTTCAGCGTTTTTCTAGTAGAATAATGATAGTTAGCTTGCTTATTAGCTTACTGCCCAGAGAGAACATTGGGTGATTGTTTTGGCTTCAGCTCCTCTGGACTGAGTTTGGTGCTGCCTAGCTCAGTTTTCAGTGGTCACCAAAACCTGTCATTGTTTTTGTGTGGTATGGGGTCTGCTGGAGGGTGGTGTAGTGCATTTGGCTCTTCATTGAGTGTGCAGCCAGGAGTTGAACTGAGGCTGTGACATATTTTGAATTCAAGTGAATTCGAATGTGAAAATAACAAGGTCTGGGGCGGCGCGGTGCTCACACCTGTAATCCCGCACTTTGGGAGGCCGAGGTGGGTGGGTTCATGAGGTCAGGAGTTCGACACCAGCCTGGCCAACATGGTGAACTCTCATACAAAATTAGGTGACGTGGTGGGCATGCTACTGTAATCCCAGCTATCAGCTACCTCGGGGGCTGAGCAGGAAGAATTGCTTTCAATTTC